GAGAGAGAGAGCGACGCGTCGTTCTTCGAGATGCGTTTCTTGTTCGTACGGATGAAGCGACTCGTTGTTTCGTCGAATCTCGCGTATTTATTGCGCACCTGCTGCTGTCTTTGCCGTGTTCGAACGACGAAAACGTACGTTTTCGTCCCGCGAAGATCGGAAAATTGCAAATTCCTCGCTCGATTCGGTACTCCGCGAACGCGCTGTAAACTTTTGATTCTTGCGATTCGCTGATCGCGCGTTCCGATGTTGAATCCGTTGACGCGCGTCGAGTTATTCTCTCAATTTTCGAGAGGAACGCGTCCTCCTCGACGCGTTGCGACGTTGTTTCGTGATAACGACCATGTTCCATCTTAACGGCGTGTTCGAGGGATCGATGCGGTTCGCTGCGACACGGTCGGACGACGTTTTCGATCCGTTTCGCAAAAATAGGTGGTGGTGGTGGTGGTGGTCGTCGTCGTATCTGGTGGGCGAGTCTGCGATGCTCGGCCCGCCGTCTTCCACGTTCGTTTCCTTCTCGTCGTCTGTCGTGGACTCTGCTTTGAAATTTTCAAAACTACGAAACGCTTTACCGACGGATTCCACCGTCGTTGGACCAAGATTGTCCAAATTCGTACGTTTCGTCTCGCTCGAGGTGTCGACCTCTCGATCGTGAAAAATTCCCGACTTACCGTCGATGGCGTTCGCTGCGTTTTCTGCGAATTCTGCGATGACGGAAAATTCGTTGTTTGCTTCGGTAAGATTGTTCCGCGAGATCGTTTCTACGAATTACCTTCTTTCTTTGCGACTGTTTCCTCTCCGAGGAAACGAGCAACTTGCAATTTCCACGTTTCTGCTGCCTGATGCGCGTTGTCTTTGTTTCTTTCCGGTCCTTTCGCGGAGATTTTCGAGGACGGAGGACTTTCGTTGGTTCGCGCGTTCGAGAAAGGAGCGTCGTTTCGTGCTTTTTCGTCCTCTTTCGAATCTGGATGGAAACCGCGATCCGTGGTGTTCGTCGATTCGATTGTTTCGTCGGGACAGTCGTTGAACGACGCGTCCTTCTTCTTCCTTTCGTTCGACGAGTTTCTATCGAGATGCGAACGCTTGTCGGAAGGGTGCCGAGGTACCGTGTCGGAACGATTTGACTTTCTCGTCCGCGATCGTGGAACGCGATTCCCGTTGGAATTGTTTCTCTCGTTACTCTCGAGATGACCGATCTCGTCGTGCGAGGCGTCGTTCTCCGATATCGAGAAGAGAACGAAAGGTACGCGTTTTACTACGAGTTTCTCGACGACGTAGTCGTATCTTCTTTCGTCGTCGTCGTCGTCGTCGTCGTCGCTGTGGTTTGCAACGTCTTTGGAGGATTCTGTTCTCGAAGCGGTTCTCCGCTTGAAGCTTGAAAAGAATTTGAAACGTTTGTCGTCGGGAAGAGAATCGATCTTGGACGAAACTGCGGAAACTGCGGTTTCGTCTGAACTGGTAGCGACGGTGGTAGCTCGTAGTTTGTCGCTCATCGTCCGAGATCGTGCGAGAATGATGATCGCCCAAGGTCTGCTCGACGAACGTCGAGTCTAGAGACGCGTGTCTGTCCGTCGCGATGCGTTACGGTTAATTTTCATGATCCGGTTTGAACTTGGTTCCCAGAGATTTGCGATCGTTCGAAAGTCTTGGCCGGACGTTCCTGACGGATGTCCAACGTGTGTTGTATCGCGATCGTAGCTTCGCGCGTTTCGCAAATGTTCGACGTGGCAAACGTTATAGATTGGCGGGATGTGTCGCGATCTGTTTGCAAATTTTCCGGTGAAATTTGCAAATTACCGTCGATGCGCCTGTTTCGTGCTTGCCTCGCGATCGTAAATTCGCGTTTGAAAGTTGTCGTGTGGATTTGCTTCTGTGGGGAAGAAACTCTACCGTCGACTGCGTTCGTGAACGATTCGTCGACGATAACTTTGGAAATTGGACTTTGCGATTTCGAGTGTCGAGTGATTCTCCGTGTCGTTGGACAGATGGCACTCGCGACGTTTCGAGAACGACGTTTGACGCTTCCGTTCGTACGTTGCGTCGCTTTGCGAGTAACGTCGAACGTCGGGTTGCTTTCGCGCACGTTCGCTCGAGCGCGTGATATTGAAATTATTACCGATAAAGTAAATACGTCTCGCAACGATCGAGGATGGCGACGATAAAGTTGAATCCGTCGAATTCGCCTTCCGTTGAATTGAGTTCGTACCGCGATCAACACTTTAAGGTTAGTTGGTCGCTCGTTGCGTTGCGATTATCGATACCGACGACGGTGGTGAACTTTGCCGGTGTGTTGTCTCCTGCGTCGTTCGTCCTAAAGTGACCAAGATGCACGCGCGCTGGACGTTTGCTCTTTGACCGTTTGTTTCTGGTTTTCGTTTCGAAACGAAACTTGCGCGATTGATTGTTGTACGTGCGATCGCGCGTTGCGGAGTATAGCGATAGTTTTTCTTTTCTTTCTTTCTTTCTTTCTTTCTTTCTTTTTTTAATTTCCCGTCCATTCGACGGAACGACGTTGATCGTCGTTGGAATTAGCAACAGCGAAGAAATTTGAAACTTTCGAATCGGTGTTCGACCGTTTTCTTCTTTTCGATTAACCTTTTTTAAATTTCGACGCAGGGTTCGAGAGCCGAACAGGACAGACTGTTGAGAAATTCTACGACTCTGTACGTTGGAAATTTATCGTTTTACACGACGGAAGAACAGATATACGAATTATTTTCAAAATGTGGCGACGTTAGAAGAATAATAATGGGATTGGACAAGTACAAGAAGACACCTTGCGGTTTCTGTTTCGTCGAGTATTATCAGAGGATGGATGCGGAAAACTGCATGAGATACGTCAATGGGACTCGCTTGGACGACAGAATCATCAGGACGGATTGGGACGCTGGTTTCATCGAAGGCAGGCAATACGGAAGGGGTAAAACTGGAGGACAAGTGCGTAGCTTTCTCTCCTTCTTCTTCTTCTTCTTCTTCTTATTCTTGTTACACCGTTGTTACAGGGAATTGCACGTTGCGTTGACGTTTGTTCGTCGACGCGACGAGTGATGATCTCGCGTGACGGATCTCGTGTTTACGTTGCAGGTAAGAGACGAGTACAGATCGGACTTTGACAGTGGAAGAGGAGGTTATGGTAAAATAATACAACAAAAGGTAACTCCGCTTTCGGATGGAGCTTTCGGACGTTAAAATTCCACGTACGTGTGCGACTGCTTCTCCGTCTCTTGCGTGTGATGTAATTTTCTACGTGTCGGAAAATTACCAACGATCGTGCTCGATCGCGCCGCAACTGTCCGATGTAATCACCGTACGGCGGCTCTTGTGTACGTTGACGGTGAACCGAGGATACGATACGAGATATAAGTAAAAATTATTTTCCAACGTTTGTAAGCGTGAGTAATTTACCAGTAATTTTATTTCAATTTTTCGTTTTTTTTCTTTTTCTTTTTCTTTCCTGTCGGACAACGAGAGACAGAGAGAGACAGAGAGAGAGACAGAGAGAGAGAGAAACGTCTTATCGGTGAGAGACGTATTACTTTGCAAACTTACTTTTTAAAAGTTTTAAAACTACCAATCTCGTCCGAGACGAACTGGTTTGTTTGTTCGTTCGATGATCGATGACACGGATGAACTGATTCTCAGTTGCGTACAATCGACGTTTGTCGACTTGCAAAGAACGCGCTCGAATTATGCTCGCTGTTTGAAACTGTCCGTTTGAGAGATCGGTTTGTCGCTCGTCCGTCTTTTAAAATGGAACGTGGAAGAACCGCGGAACGGAGACAACTTTGGACGATGTAACTGTTGATTGTCGAGTTCGTTTTCCGTACGTGTGACAACTTGTATAGTTGTAGATATTGTTGCTCTGTAGTCTGGTCTTCTTCAAAATGAGCAACAAAGTTTGCTCGATGGTTTTTTCAATACCGCTCGAATCGCTTCTGTGAAAACTTCTTCCAAGTTTTCACGTTTCAGAGCGGAACATTCGACGTATTTGTGAGCTTTTATCTTTTTCTTCGTTCTCTTGCATTCTTTGAAGGTGATTGTATCCACGTTTTCTTGATTCCGAAGGTCTCCTTTGGTACCTGCACCGATGACACAACGCAAAGGAAAGTTTTAACCACGTCGGTTTCCCAGGCTGTCGGCGGTCTACCGGCGTATGCGTGGAGAATCGAAAATTACGTCTTGATTTCTCGAGAGAGAGAGAGAGAGAGAGAGAGAGAGGAAATATTTTCGTTGCTCTCTATTGTCGCGTTGTTGTCGATGTTCGACCGCGAATTCCCAGCGTATGGAAATTGTTGGAAGATGCGTAAAGTTCAATTCTCAAGTTCCTTTCGAACGACGAACGAATTGTAGTTGCAACGAATAATACTCACCGACCAGTACTATGGGCGTGTTTGGACAGTAATGCTTGATCTCTGGATGCCACTTGTTCGCAACGTTCTCGTAAGAAGTGCGAGAATTTACTGAAAAGCAGATCAAGAAGCAATCGGTCTGAAAACAAAGTTGAACGATAACTGAGATGCAAACTGAAAATTGTACCGACGCGTGTGAGTGACGGATGTATGATCGGTGAAATATAAATATATGTGTGTGATGGTCGATGAATTGACGATCGGACGAGCGATAACCGACGAATCGATATAGACTTATTCACGTTTGGATAAGACAAAGGTCTGATTCGCTCGTAGTCCTCTTGGCCGGCCGTGTCCCACAGAGTCACGTCGTATTCTTGTCCATCTACGTGAATGCTGCCCCCGTAATTGTCAAAGCTGCGACAAAACCGAAAATTGTAAATCGTATTTTTT